GGAAGCCATTTCAATGCTAAGGCATGTAGTAACGTGTACGGTGCTGTAAGTCAGTACCGTATGTTTCCCACTCATACGATACCCGATCTAATATCTGTATTGTCTGTTAGGATCGGTTAGACATGCAATTTGCTACCTCATCAYATTCATCGCGTCATACACCAACGCTGCCTCTCATACTAAATTACTTTCCCATTTTCCTAATCCTTTTCGTTACTTTATTTYAAGAGAYGCATCTCAATAAAAGCTTGTTCTTTTACTTGGTATTAGAATTTCKTTAAGATCGRGGGRAWAGATTTYTAATGGAGGGTCTATGAATGCTTTTAGCACAGTGAAGTGGTTGTTTGTGCAAGCCGACTGAGTGTTTTTATTCTCGTCCGCATTTAAAATTGACAAGCGCGCCCCAAAAATCGCGGTGCGTTAGATATTTTGGCTGGTGCTGCATGGATATTCACAAGTAATGGAGTAACGTTACGTCAAAAACCTTTTTTGCAAGGTTTTCATCCTTAGGTCAGTAATTGAAGAAGAAACGGTTAACCCCTTTTTRATCTTAAGGRAATAAATTATCAGTAAATCTACGTAAAAAATGTTTTCATAAAATAATGCAAAGACAAMAAAAGTTGCACAACCATGCAAAATGCGTGGGATTTGGGRGGGGGGGGCACGTAAAAAATATGGCATTTAAGGGGTGGCCACCAAAAATAATTGCCTAAATAGAAAATTTATTTTCAAAATGTATCCTGTTTTAATATAAAGGGGGCACGTAAAAACGTTCATATTGAGAAAGGGTCATACATTAGCACCCCGCCTCTCTCCCCCGGGATAAAATAAACAGTCCCCTAGTACTTACAATGATTTTAAAGCAAGGTRCAAATTGATTTGACCGATGACTGCAGTAACCTTTCCAGTCTTGCTGATATTCTGTTCTGTTAAASCGACATTGTGTCTTCGTTAACGTTCTTCCTATAATGAATAAACAAATGAAAATGGGTTATGTGGGTCAAGTTCGAGTGCCTTTCGTGTTTTTGCGATCTTCCAAAACTTCCAGACGTCTGAGTTTTGGCTTCCGCATTAATCCAAACATTTATATAATTTTGCCGTTGTAAATTTGAGGGATGTCGAAGGGGGGAGACGTGCGTCTGCAGTTGTTTGGGTGTCAGAAACTTGAAAGCGTTTTCATACTTTGTGGGTCCGACAAAATCTAAGCTCAACTAATATAAGATAAGATAGTTCAATGAAGAGCGGATACAGTGCGCAGTCAAGAATATAACCCATACACAAATATCAATAACTCTTAGTTAATTAAAGCGAGTGCWTATAGGGATAGACTTATTCCGACCTCATTTGAAGTATATACTTATACGACGCAAAATCGAGACAATGGTTTYCTTAACAACGATACTTATTTTGCGAACATTAGACTTCTAGGAATGATTGTGAGTAATAATCCTCAAGAACGATTTTTTTTTTGTCGCTGCATCTCTCGGTAGTAAGCTTTGCCTTGGCTTCCTTTGATCGCACGTCTCGCACAGATAACGCCACTAATTCTCTCTGGTACTTAATCGAAATTGGTTCTAACGTTTGCGCTCCATGCGCAAAGGTTTTGCGCAMTCTTGTGCGCAAGCCATATCCGCCGCAGTTAACTGTAACTACTGTAGCCGCTAAAACTGTTGTTATCACAGTAAGGCGGTAAACAGAATAACTACGACATGTGGGTTAAACCATTGGGCTCGATATTCAGTTCATCGGAAGAGAAATACCGCAGATAATACCATGCTGCGCAAAGCCTTCTGATATCTGTTTAAATTAATCTGACATAAAATAGGATCAGCCTGGATAGTATGGATAAGAAACATGTTGACCTGAGTCTGTCAAAATTMAAGGAACCTAAAACAGGACTACTGTCCATTGAACACTATGAACATAAGAGCAACTACTGTAATRGTCTGTATACGTGAGTTCAGTGATACTGGAAAACGTATTGCGTGTATGTTATCAAATAGCATATTTTTCTCTACGTTAATTAACAACACGTGTAGCTTATCAGTACACGTCAAGTCAGTCGCGCACCAATACCATATACTCCTACTTTAAAACTAAACGATGCTGAAAATTTGATGAAACGCGAGACCATTGAATAACAACGATAGCTTGCGATCAATAACGCAGAGTAATTGTTTTGCAAACTCTAAGAATACACTGTGTAAACAATATTGAGAGTATATTGCAAGGTATACCCAATATATAACAAGATTGTTTGATATGATATATGATATGAGGTCCAACCTTTTTTCAAACTTAACATTTTCGTGAAGTACAAATGTCGTTATTATTATCGTATTCAGTGTTGAAAATTCGGTGTTAATGTGGGTAAAATGATCTAAAATTTATCGAAAAATGATAAMTTTGCGTAAGCGTCTGTCTGTTTATCTGGTATTGAAGAGGAAGGGTTACGAGGGTTGAAGTCACTTGTGAGTACATCACTTAACATTAGTGACATCTTAGCCGAGATAAACCACAAAGAAAATGAATGTATAAGATATGGTATCGCAGTGGAAATCTCTCGACTATAAAGGACAATCAGCCATGTATTTCCGAACTTGCCTCGTCCGACATTCAAATTATTCAAAAGACCACTATAAATCCCGGAATTCCAAAAAGRTGTAGGCGAAAGATATGATCGTAAAAATAGATTAATCTGAGAGGGGAGTACAAAACTAGTCAAGCGAATAGAATATGTACGACCGCGCGCATCAATCCTACACCCAGCAGCCCATCTATTTGTTCAACTGCGATGATGTAATTATAATTAACACGCACAACTAATATATTGACCYAATTATAAACCTTCTAACCACAACCCAAAAAACCATTTGTGGCTCGTAGCTCTAGTTGTCTGATGCGGTATATAATATATATAAACACACACGTATATCCGCGCGACGCTTTATCGATGATGTTGATGTATTAAGATATTTTTGGTCTGGTTCACGAGTTCTTCCTGACATGACCACAAGAGATAGCACGTTTCTCCAAAACTGCCGCAGTAGTATTAATAAAGATGATTCGTTAAGCTGACTTAAGCCAGGCAAGAAATTCGATTCYAGCATTTATCACACGATAGCATCAAGCGCTTTCCCAAAACATAGATTGACTGCGTTTATCGGTCGGGGTAAGAGCAGTCGAGCGAGTAGAATATCTCGATCCCTACCTAATTGACCGAAAATGTTTGTTGTTAACTCACAAAGTGATTCYCTTTTTGGGATGGATTAAAACGAAATAAAAGTTCGCCAAAAAACATCAAGAAAAAAGTTTAATTTACGTGGTTTATAAGCATGAAAACGATATAACATAAATAAATCATCTGCCCTTGGAGACTGGCTCTCTGACTTGGTGGTCCGTGTATTCAATCTGTAATTTTCTATCTGATTGAATTCAATTAAAGCTAAACAATTTCTAGACCTGGATCTTTGTTTTGATTGAAGAAAGAGTATGGGCAATTGTTCAGTAATACTTGGTGGAATTAATTTTCGAGGGCTGTTTTTGAAGGAACAGTATCCCTACTTCAAGTGAGAGTACAAGTTTGCCTACTGTTTTCTTACGGTTACTACATACTTGTRTAAGGAAAATATTTACCGCGAGAGCTTTAGCAATAATTAAATTGARGCGTATTAACCACGAATACTTATGGAAAAATCAATACTAAGAAATGGAAGAATAAAGAGGCTTGATATCTTACTTACCGATTTGATAAGGATGTACAACGTAGACTCCCATCAAAATAAGCAAAATAAAAGCAATTATAGCACAAGGCAAACAAAAGCAAAGCGGGCATCGTAAACCGTCTGCAAATATTTCACGCCTAAGCTCTTGCTTACTGAGGTTTTTTCTTCGTTCTTTAGTCAGCTCGTCAAGCTCCCATTTAGAAAGACCTGACCTCAGGTCTGAGACTTTCCCTGGCTTGACAAAGCTCGCCATATGGTTAAGAACTGTGCTCAATTCTCATAGTTTACACTGTGTGGTACTTTGGTTGGCCATACACTGAGGAACAGATCTGAACTGCATTACTTGTCTGGATTACTGTGGACTGTCAATGTTATGATCGACGCGTGAGGCAGTTGAAGACAAACAAGAGAATCGATCAACTGATGCCAACACATTTCCTCGTCTCTGATTGGCTCTTTGTCCCTAATTGTTGGGATGAATAAAAATTTGAAAGTAAAATGAAGCTATTTAAGTATTTTTCATAGT